TTCCCTACTCCGAGCCCTTAGATGCAGGGCTGGGGTGGGGAACATAGGTGCTGGGCAGGCTGGAGGGGTGGCCTGGGTGGGGCTGCAGGGAGAGAGGAAAAAAAGGCCTCAGAGGCAAGCTGGAGGGGTGGGCGGGAGAGAAGAGAACATGCCCCTGGCACCCAGCCTCCTGAAAACAAACACACACACACACACACAGCCCTGCCCTGAAGGACCTGGGCAAGCCCTCAGATAAGTCTGCAATAAATATATAAATAGGAAGCATCTGGAGATCTATTTATTTCTAGACTGCTATTATATTGTTATTTCTAAGTTCCTATATCAATTGGTATTTAATTGCCCAACATTGTGCTGCCAACACAAAATTATTTTAAGGAATGTTATATATGAATTGAAACCTATTGCAATGCAACACAAGGGAACAGGTATAGAAATGTGTATGTGATTAAAATCTCAAAGTATTAAATTTTTCAACACTGCCAGGATCATTTCTTTTACTAACCCACTCTTAAAAATGAGGCTCAGACTCAGTGTTTTTCCATTTGTAAAAATTATTTTCACTTCGTGATGCCTTCACAAAGTCTTCCTCTCCCTATTTCTATAACAAATACATCCCATCTGCTTAGAATATAATAAATACATGAAATACAGCACACGCCTGAAATCAGTATCAACAGCCTAAGATCCACAGCTGATGGGGTAGACAGCATGCAACTGGATCAATAGCTTTGGTCTGGGAATGAATTAGCTATTTCATCTCCCTTTCATCTAGAGTGAACAAAGCTAAAAAAGAGTAATTAGCTTTACAATTTTAAAGTCTGCTGTAAAAGGTGACAAGTTGAAATGTGAAGGAAATGCGAGCATTAGTGTCAAAGGAAAAAAGTGATAAGCAATGTGTAACCTGAGTAACAGAGCCATACTCTTTGGGTTAATACACTAGCTGTAAAATGGACTCCATCTGGACAACCCAAAATGATTAAATTTTTCCTATAGAATATCACATTCTGTTTCTATTTGTTGAGTTTAAGAAACTAATATATTGTTTCCACTTCAAATGCTCTCTTCAAATGTCCAGAACTTCTATTTCAAAAACAAGACAAAATGCAGAGTCCTTATTCAAGAGTATATATGTGTCAAAATGAAAGATTTTAAGAAAGGGCCATTTTTGAGATAATCAAATGCAAAATAAACTAACAGCTGAAAAAATTCTTAGATATAATATAGCCTCCTCAATGTGTTAAAATAAATTTAAAAATGAGTCAGACATCTGAAACCAAGCCTGAGAAAAATCACCCGCAAATGTACTTTAGTGTTCTGCATACCTGACGACCACAGGATTTAGAACGAAACTAACATCCTTACCTAACAATACACACCTCTTATATTTTACATATCTGCTTAATGTCTGTACTTCAGTTTGAATCTCATAATATTCATATGAAATAGATTTTATAGATGAGGTACAGAGAGACAGGATAAATAACTTGCTATAGGCTCCCCAGTGAGACTATGCCAGATGTTGGATTAATATGCAAGACTTCCTGGACCTGGGGCCCATATTCAATCCACAAGACCAAGATATTTTTCAAACTATAGAATTAGCATACAAATACTCAAGAACAAATACCTTAAGGAGTTTATTAATTAATTTTCTTAATGACTTTCATAAGCAAAAAAATAATTCTTCCTTCTGCAGATGCCTCTATCTCCAAATTAAAACATGAAAATATTACAGATGCTACACTAAGTTATACAACATGTTGTCCCACAAATACAAAAACTAGCTAAACAACTTACTTTATATTGATTTTGGCAAATCATCTGGAGAATTCAATTTTACATAAATTTATCCTTCCAGAGTATAGTACAATCAAATAACATCTTTAGACCCAATATTTCATACTGTCTTTAAAATGGAGTTTAGACCACAATATGTCAAATGTTGGGTTCTCTACAGAGAATATCCACAGTGATGAGCAGGAAAACTAGAGGTACTGGCAATGGGTTAAACTGGATTGAATTAAAGTTCACACCCATACTATTTGTAGCAGTAAGTGATATTAAGAAATTCTCTCCACAATCAAGATTTTGGAAGATACAGAAATTCTATACTAACCTTTATAAATAACAGGTTTATCTTTGTCAGTTTTGTCCCTGCTTGCCAGTTCCAGAAAATCTTCTATCAAATCCAGTGATATTAGAGACTGGCTAAAAACTAAACTGAAAGAGAAACACAGAAACAGACAACATTTTTCCACTAAAATTCAGTCAATACATTTAAATTTCTGTATTGTTTTGCTTTACTTCTCTTCCTTCACTCTGAACATGATCTTTAAAACAAACAGAGTATATGTCTTTGGAAGAGTTCTAGAACACTCTTCTGATAAAAATAAATTAAACACACACACACCTCTAACACAAATTGAGCTGTAGTTCTAAGCTCAAAGTAAGTGTTAAAGGGTAAACACTAAAGAAAGCTAAGTCAGAATAATATATTTAAACAAATTCATAAATAGATATGTAATTTGACATGGCTTACACTTTATTCCCAAGCTCCTCTGCCATGCGAAGAATTTCAAAGAGAAGAACCATTTTCCCAGAATGTTCCAATACTTCAGCGTCTGCATCAGTGACAAAATCTTTGTACCAGTCTGGTGCTGGGCTGCCTGGGTTGGAAGAGGATGTGGCTTTACCTGTAGAATAAAAGTTCTATTAAGCTAAAAAGAATCTCCTTAAAATGATAAGACTTTTCCTAAAATGCAAACGTTTAAAGATCTCTAAGATATAGAAGACTGATCCCTTCAACTAAAAATTCTGCCAGTTAGTGGTATGGAATTAAAACAAAATTCAAAGACAGTAGTCTGCTATCCTTAGAGAATCACTATCTGTCCACTTTTTCTATGTACTATTTTAACATATAGCCTTGCCACCTGCCATTTACCAAAAGTAATATCCAGCATCTTCACCCATAGCTAATATTTGTTTCCTAAAACTCAAATTACAGATTTTACAAGAAAGGTATACTTATATATTCGATCATAAGCTGAATTGTTTTGGTAAAAAAATCAAGCTGTGAAAAGCAGAGCTCAACTTATGATCGGGTCATTGTGCTTCACATTTTTTTTCCACTGGGGGGGAGGGGGTCATCAAACCTCAATTCCCAGCCCAGCAGGGCAAACCTCTGGAACACTAGGATGTTTTATGTAACTGTTGTGTCTATAGCCGTGGTCACCAACCCGTGGATCATGATCGACTGGTTCATCACAAGGCCTCAACCAGTCTATCGCGAGGCGTTCTGGGACCCCCATTTCTCCCCACCCTCAAGAAGCCCCACTACCTACCGCCAGCAACAATGGAGGTTGTGGCAGCTTCCCGCTGCATGGACAGAAGAACTGAGCTGCACGTCACTTCCGGGGGTTCTGGAAATGTGCTGGTTGCTTCCTTGCCCCAGGTCTGTGGTGTGCCGGGAGCTTACTGGGGGAGTCCCCAAAGGCGCACACTGGGACTTCCCTTTTCTGCGGGAGGGGAGGTGTCGGCCCCAGAGGGGGCGTGTGCGGGAGCTTCCCTGCTCCGCAGGAGGCTCATGCCAGCCCCAGCGGGGGCGCCCGATGGGGCTTCCTTCCTCCGTGGGGGGGGAGGGGGAGAGTGTCGGCCCCAGAGGGAGACGCATGTGTGGCGTTCCCTGCTCTGCGGTGAGTTGGCCCCAGAGGGGACGTGCACAACAGGGGTTTCCCTGCTCCGTGGGAGGCGTGCGCCGTCTCCACAGGAGGCATGCAACAGGGCTTCCCTCCTCTGTGGGGCAGGAGGAGTTCTGGGAGGCAGCGGGTGCAGGGGAACCCAATTACTTCAAACTTCCTTCATAGGCCATATTTTTTAGACCTTTAATCATTTTTGTCGCTCTTTGGATTTTTTCCATTTTTCCTACATCTTTCCAGAAATGTGGTGCTCAGAACTGGACACAATACACCAGTTGAGGCCTAATCAATGCCAAATAGTATAATTACTTCTTGTCACTTATTTACAACATTCCCACTAATAAATCCCAGAATGATGTTTGCTTTTTTCGCAACAGTGTCACACTACTGATCATGGTCCACTATGATCACCCCCATCCCTTTCTGAAGTACTCCTTCCTGGAGTGTTGTTTCCCATTTTGTACATGTGCTACTGATGGCTCCTTCCTAAGTGAAGTACTTTGCATTTGTCCTTACTGAATCTCATCCTATTTACCTCAGTTTATTTCTCCAGTTTGGCCAAATTAAAAGCATATGCCTGTTAATGGTGTCATCCATATTTGCCTTAATTCTAATCTATAGTTGCTTAACAAAACAAAACAAAAAGCAAAGGAGGAGACAATTTTCATAGAATTATTAAAAATTGATATTGTGGTAATACTCAGAGGCCTTCACCAGGAAAGATCCTTTGTACTAGGCAATGTACAAGTACAGAATGCTTGACACAAAGTGTTTACATTTTGTTTTGGAACACAAATGTCTTCCTAATTTAAGTCTACATAATGTTATTCACTTGAGATTATAAATAACTATCTAATCTTCTATTTACACAAAAGCTTTTAGTTAATTTGTCACTTCTATACCCTAATAGCTGACTTCAGTCAAACTACAAGAAAGCAATGACAGATACTGTGGCAGGGTGTTGCCCTGCCCTGGCCCTTTAAGGCGCCAAGGAGCTGGAGGGAGGAGAGCCCAGCTGAGGTCCATAAGGAGGGGCCAGCTGAGGGCTATAAGAACAGCTCCTGGGAGGAGAATGAGCTACCTGCTTGCTGCTCTGGAGGAGAGAGCAGTTAAGACCTGACAGCCAGGGAAGAAGGAGGCTCCCTGGAGGAGGGCAGGACTGGGGAGGCTCAGGCAGGAGGAACCCAGGCTACATGGTCAGAGGCCTAGTGCTGCATAGGAGGCAGTCATGAAGGGGTACGACGAGCATAGGAGGCAGCCCTAAAGGGCTGGGCTGCATAGGAGGCAGCTGTGGTAGCCCTGGGGGAGGCTGAGCCAGGGAAGCCCCAGGCCATAAGTCCGGGAGGTAACCGGGCAGGCAGAGGCGCACCTGTGGCCAGGGAGTAGGGGCCTAGAGATCCTGTGGCCTGCCCGGAGGGGCTGTTAAGGGGCTGGCAGGGAACCTGAGGCCAGAATGGTGCAAGGGGAGCTAGGAATCCCAGAGAGGAAGAACTGGGGGGGGTTCCCAGGAGGAAGAAGGACCCTGAACTATAACAACATGGACTCTCCCCTGGAAGGGGGGGTGCGGACAAACTATGGAGTGGTCACTGCCGGAGGGTAGTGACCTGAAGAATACCACCACACCCAAAGGGGGTGCATCAGAGCAGCTGGCTACGTCTCTCCCAGGAGGCCACCCAGGAAGGAAGAGCCGGGCAAAAAGGAAAGTGAGTGAACCCACTACAATACTTTAGGAAAATTTGTCTCACTGTATTACTGTGCCAAAATAACAGCATCCCGAACAAAACAAGCACCATATGTTTAGCTCTAGATTTGACATTCAACAAGATCTGGTTGTGAACTACAGATTGAACCTCTCTTTTGGCACCCTTGGGACCAGACAGTTCCGAATGAAGGAGTTTTCCAGATCACAGGAGGTCAGTCTTTTCTAGAAACATTACCTACACTTCCACTGATTACAGAGGACATTTAGGGGTAAATTAGAGCTAAGTAACAGCACAGAACACTGAGAGCTAGGACTGGTGGCTATAAGCAAACTACATGGAGCTGTAAACAAACTTTATGGGGCCACGGGAAATGTGGCCACACCCATGAAAAATGGACATCTAACTAAAATTATGCCGGACCATGGATGTTTCCTCCCTTCCGTCGTGCTGCTAACCCAGCAGGGATTGGCAACCTATGGCACCCAACCAGCAGCATCACTGAGGGTAAGCAGCTGCTGCTGATGGTGGGCTTATGGAGGGTTGGGAGAAGAGGAAAATTGCAGGTCTCTGGCAGGGAACAGGGCGTAGAGGCCCACTGCAGGTGGGGGCCTGGACTGCAAGCTACCTCAGCTCCTGAGCCAACAGGCACCATGTGGCAGGCGGCTGCCAGAGTTTTAAAGTGCACTGCTCAGGCAGCACCGGGTTGGGGAGAGGCGGCAGTAAGGCCCATGGCAGGGGGGCAAAGGAGGCTACGGGACATGCCTGCTGCTGTGTTGAACCACTGTTTAGCATGCTGACCAATGCTGTCTCATAGCTCCCATGTACTTCCCGTCTTTCTGTCCCTCTTTTATGTTATACTTTGATTGTAAGCTCTTCATGGCAGGGATGTTTCAAGTAAGCTGTTAGGACACTGATTTGTCTCTTGTTGTTGACCACATACACAGTGGCTCTTTCATACACTAATAATGATATGACAGACTATTTAACTTTTTAAGGAAAAGTCATATGGCAGCAGGACAATATGGATGTTAAAATGTGTTTATTTGAGCAAACGTGTTGCAAGAAGCTGATGGTGGCTGGCAGCACTGAAAAGGATGTTGCAGAAATCTAGATGCAAGATGAAGCAGCCTGTGAGTGTTTTCTGAGTGGATAGGAAAGGCAGTAACTTTGAGATGTTATGAACAGGGAATGTGCAAAATTTAGATATTGCTTGGATGTGAGAAAGTAGAGGATGAATTTAAGTTAGGGGTAGGCAAAATCAAGCCCGGAGGCCAGTTCCAGCCTGCCAAGCATGTCTCTTCGGCCCACCCAGCTGATTAGCAGAGTGTACATAATTATAGCTGGGAGTGCGTGTTAATCTGCCCCTCCCCCCACTTTCCTCTGTCCTGCACCAGAGAGGATTCTCCTGCTAGTGGGGGGCGGGGGGAGGAGGAGGAGGTGTCCAGGGAAGAGAAGAGGAAGATCTAAAGGAGAGGGAAATGCTGAAGTCGAGGTATTTCCCTTGCCCCTGTACCCCATCTCTGCAGAGCAGGGGTTGGGAATATAACAGAGCTACTCCAATCTGAAACGTGTGGTAAGTGACTCAGGCTATATCTAAACTGCAGGCTTCTTTTGAAAGAAGCTTTTTTCAGAAGAGATCTTCTGAAAAAACTTCTTCCGAAAGAGCGCCCACACACAAAAATGCATCGAAAAAGAGATGCACTTTTCCGAAAAAGAGTGTCCAGACTGACTGGACACTCTCTCGCATAAAAGGCCACCCAGAACCGTTTTAGGTCACCAGTTGCTTCCGAGTGCTGGTACCGGAGCCTTGCAGAGACGCACTTCAAGAGACCGCCCTCTGGACAGCTGTCTCTCTGCTTCTGTTGCATGCTTGCCTACCTCTTCGAAGGACAGCAAAGCTCTCGGAGTGCCTGCTGTGGTTGCCCTGCTTTTTTGGATACTTTCCCTCTTGGTGCCACATGGCCATGCTGCAGTTATGGCAGCACTTTTTGTCAGCTGCCTTCCTGGTCCTGCATGAGCTCGACCCCGAGCTCATTCTGGGGACCCTCTCCCTGGGTGCGAGAGCTACACTCTGGTAACCACAACCCACTGTGAAGAGGCATTTCAGGAGGCTTGACACCAATTCGGACTGATGGGACCAGCTGGTCATGGAGCAGTGGGATAACCAGCAGCAGCTCCAAAACTTCTGCAAGTGGAAGGCCACCTTTTTGGAGCTGTGTGTCTGGCTCGCCCCTGCCCTCCAGAGATGCAACACCCTGCAGGCCCGCCATCCCCTGGAGAAGTGGGTCGCAATCA